CCCGGCTCCTCGCACTCAGCGGGTCTGCTCCCCAGCCTTGCTGGACGCTACCCACCTCGACCCCCCTCGTCGACAGGTCAGGACCCCGCGGGCATCCTCGGTTGCTCTGCTCTGCCGTCGCTCACAGTCGCAGGCCTTCTCGTGGAGCTCCACTCGTCCCTCGACTGCTGTCACCGCCTCGGTCAAGCCCTCCCCACCTCCTGCTGGGCCTCTGCGAGGCTCCCCACTGCCCGCCCTGCCTCTGCGCCAGGGGTGTCCACACTTACTGATCACACACTCCTACCGGAAACAAAAATTCCAGCAGACACTCCTAGGACATGCGTGTGAATTTATACATTATATACATAAACCTTTACTAATATGTTAGAAAACATTCACCAAAATAGACGTTTAAAAGGATGCCATAAAAATACAAGTTCTAGTATTTTCTCTGGCAGCTCTGTGGTTCACACTCTACCTGGAATCTTCCGGTCCAGGTTCTGGCTGCTGTCACCTTCTTCCTTTCTGTGGTTTAATCTCCCTCCGCCTCCCCCAGTGATTTCTTTGGGCCCACCCAGATGATCCAGGATAATCTCCCCATCTTAAGATCCCTAACTGAATCACGTCTGCAAAGTCCCTTGCCATGTAAGGTAACATTCACAGGTTCCAAGGATTAGGACCTGGAGATTTGGGGCTCCGTACTCAGCCTCCCACACCCTCCCTGCAGCCAGGGTGAGCTTCTGAACGTGCTGCCTGGAAATCTCTTTTTCTCTGGCTCTCCATTGCCAACTGTCGGCAGGCATGCAAGGCCCTTCACAATTTGGCTCTACCCACCTTTCTAACTGCATCTCCCACCACTGCTTCCTCTTCTCTTCATCAGGATTATACTTTATGTTCTAACGATATCAGATGCTTAGAGTCCTGCCAACAAGGCACTGCATGTACAGCTGTTCAGGTTGTGAACTAAACAAGGGAGCTGCATGTAAGGAGGTTCACAGCACAGACATACACTAGCTTACAGGAGAGCACAGAGGCCTTCTCATCAACACTGCCCTCCCACATAAACCTTCACAGGCTCACTCTTAGGAGAGCACACAATAATATTCCTAACCGATTTTTTAAACTATATAAAGGTGGTGTCTTTCCTAATTCGTGTGTGTGTGCTGCACAGCCACGGCAGCCCTGCCCTCAAATGCACCTCGCAGTCGTACATTCCCTGTCTTTGCACTTGCTGTTCCCTTCACCTGGCACGCCCTCCCGGCTTCCCCCTCTTCTTGCTCGTCTGTTCACTTTCAATTCATGGCCGAGATATCACGGCCCCTCAGAGGCCCTCCGTGCCCCCACTGGAGGGAACTGCGCCTTTCTTTGTACACACTTCTAGAATTGTCCATTGCACGTGGGGTTGCATTTTATTGGTTTAAATGTTTGCCTCCCCTCCCGCACTCGGAAGTGAGCTCCCGATCGGGGGTCGGCGCCCCCGTCACTTCCTCCCTGCAGTGCCCAGCTCCATGCAGGCCCCTTATGAAGCCGTCATAACTCTGCCGAAGAATGAACGTAGGAATTATTTCCTTTGGCAAGCTCACAAAATAACAGATTCCTAACTGCCCTAATTATCTTCTCTTCCCTCCTGTTCAACCAGTTCTCAGAGCTCTAATATCTCATGAATACTTTCTAATGGACTCATTTATAAAATCATTCTCTTTTTTAATAAGTCAGGGGTAACTTGCCACGTCTGTTACTAATGGCCTCTTTCAAAATGCCTTGGCACCTCTTTTGGTTTTGAAAGGCCCTAAATGGTTTTCTGAGTTTGAGCAGGACCAATTTATCCTTTTCAGGGATACCAATCTGCAATGAGAACATTTCTGAATGAGTCATAACATCTGTATCGCAGTTTTCTTACAGTGGATTCAAAATATTTTAGCATCTTTGATGTTTTTGTCCTGATACGGACCTGAGCGCCCATCACTTCAGGGCCCTCCCTGGTTCCCCCCCGCATGGGATGGGTAGGCTTCCTTCCTGACCCCTGGCTTCAGGCTTGGCTATTCGACTTACTTTGGCCAGTGGCATGCGAGCAGATGTGACATACATTATATCCCAGCAGAAGGTTTAAGAACCAATGAGTGTTTCTACCAGCTCTCTTCCTTTCTCCCCTTTGCCAAGAGAATGGCCTGTCCCAGATTAGAGCTGCCCCTTCAGCTTGTCTCCCTAGAAAGATGAAGACGCTTGGACCAAGTCAACATGTAACACGAGCAAGAAACAAAAGTTTGTGGTTATGAGCCCCTGCGGTTTTGGAGTTGTTCATCACTGCAGCATAACATGGTGAAAGCTGACTGATACAGATGCTCAGGGTCATGCAGAGAAGACAGAGGTTTACAGGTTTGAAAACTCTAAGGAAGTTTTCTTACAAGCCCATTGAATCATGGGACACCCCTTAGCTTGCTAAAAGGGGTACATTTTGAAGAAGACTCATTAAACCTCCAAAACCCCATTTCCCATTGCAACATGTCACCATCTCCAGTTTTAGCATCCCTTCCCCCCATCACCATAACAACACATTCTGGGACAGGAGCTGGAATAGCCTCGAAAGGGATGGGGGAAGCAAGTTTCACTTCCTCCTCTGACCTCAGAAACCTCATCTTACCTTCTGAAGCTTGATGATCTATGGTGACGATGAAGGTAAAATGTTCTCAGACAAAAGGGAGTGCAAACCAGGGATCTGCTCATGTGTGAGGAAATGTTACCATGCCTCCTGCTGGACAAGAAGGGGAGAAAAGATTACTCAGAGCAGGTTTGACTGCAAGGGGATCCCATATATGTGGGGCTCCTAAGAGGTCCCCCAAATTCAACTGAGCTGCACTCCACACATAGCAGCAGCTTCTAGGTGGTACTTTGTTGGGCATGTGACTTGATGGGGGTCTGCCCTGCGTGTCCCTAGAATCACCCACATCTTGGAACCAGCAGCCCCAGGTGCTCTAATGAATCATGTATACAGTGGTCCCCCCTTATCCACGGTTTTGGCCTCCACGGTTTCAGTTACTCGAGGTCAACGGAGGTCTGGAAGCAGATGACTCTGCTTCTGACGTATCCTATCGTTACAAAGTCAATAGTAGCCTAATGCTACGTCACAATGCCTACGCCATTGACCTCACTTCTCCTCATCAGGTGGGCACTGTATCATCTCACATCATCACAAGAAGAAGGGTGAGTACAGTCCAAGAAGGTATTTTGAGAGAGGCCACGTTCACATAACTTTTATTACAGTACATTGTTATAATTGTTCTATTTTATTATTAGTTATTGTTGTTAATCTCTTACTATATCTAATTTATAAATTAAACTTTATCATAGGGGTGTATATATAGGAAAAAACATGGTGGATGTGGAATTCGTTACTATCTGCAGTTTCAGGCATCCACTGGGGGGTCTTGGAATGTGTCCCCTGTGGATAATGGGAAGTACAATATTTTGAAATTATTGAATCTAAATCAGTGCAAACAGCTTAAATCTCTGTCGGGATCTGGCAGCGTGCATCCTTTCCTTCTTGCATGGAGGTCTTGGTTTTGGTCGTCAATTTGTTTCACCAAAGAGATATACCAGGATTTTTCAAAAGAGAAGATTCAACACTGGACCTTGGAAATACATGTCCTGATAAATTTCCATGCTCCCACCTGACCCAAAACCAAACCAGGGCAGATGGGAGCAATGACTTGTGCCTGTGCCATATGTGTACATCCTATTCCGGAAAGCTTGGCTTTGAGACACAACAGGAGGGGCTCAGCAACATGGCCTGCAGGGTGGGGAGGTGTAGCAGTCAGGGTCCTCGAGAGAAAGAGAACCGACAGGAGATTGTGTATATAAAGAGGAACTGGCTCAGGCAATTATAGGGGCTGAGACAGATCTGCCGTCTGTCAGCTGGACCCCCAGGAAAGCCGGTGGTGTAATTCAGTCCAAGTCTGAAGGCCTGGGAACCAGGGGAGTCAACAGTGTAAATCCCAGTCCAAGGGCAGGAGAAAATGAAATGAGTGAGGCAGGGAAAAAAAGGGGTGAATTCTTCCTTCCTCCAACCTTTGTTCTGTTCAGTCCCTCAACGGACTGGATGGTGCCCACCCAAGTGCGGGAGGGCCATCTGCTTTACCGAGGCTGCCCATTCAAATGCTAATCTCTCCCGGAAACACCCTCACAGACACACCCAGAAATAATGTTTAATCTGGGCACTCCATGGCCAGTCAAGTTGACACAAAAAATTAACCATCACAGGAGGAAAGCCAAAAGCAAACTCAAGGCTGGCCCCAAGGGGTGGGCAGGTGAGGTAATGGCAGAAGCCTGAAAGGACGTGGGGAAGACGGGCTCACATCTGGGCGGGCAGAGGTTAGACACAGCCCAGGACAGGGGTGCAGAGGCCTCAACTGTGTGGTCTCAGGTCACCCACTGTCAGCCGGACTCTCACTAGCAGCTGGAGCAGGAAGGGAGGGTTGGAAAAAGAATGCAGAAGAAGGTGGGCGGGAGGTGGGCAGCGGGGAATGCCCTATTGGAGCAGGCAGGGCTGAACTTCCAGTAGGACCTGCGTGGGGGGCTATCAGAGAAACCAAGGCAGACTGGGGAGGCCAGACCTGCCGTGGACAGACGCACTGGGGAGGGCCTATGACTCATGAGCTTTGGGGGCCCCAGGAAGTTGGGACACAGAGGCTCTAGTGGAACAATCCAGAACAGCCTCCCCCGTGGTAAGCCAGCTTGCTGCCCCGAAGCCCTTCTCGACTCAGAGAGCCCACTTGTTTCCCTCTCCGATCCTGGCAACTGCATCTGACAGTTTCGCTCTCCCGGGCTGTTAAGACGTTCATTTTCTTTCAGGTACAAATGGAAATTAGATAGAATAAAATGCGCTAGAATTATTTGATGTTTTTCTACTTTGATTCCCAACAGCCATGTGAATGTGATCATCTCGTCATTGTCACAGAACAAAATGTGAGAGCATCGATGGGGGATTTGGCCTCTGTCCTCTGCTTATGCCACGAAAACCAAAGTGCTCCCTTGAGAGAGAGCCTTTCCTATTGTGTCACAGATAGATGGATTCCGTAAATCAATTGGAAGACATTGAGTTATTTCTGAGGAATACTAAGAGAATTGTATTCCTGTTTATGATCAATTTCTAGCAGTTTCCTTTTGTCTGTTTTCCTAGAGGGAGACGCCTACAAGAAGGTGTCATTCAAGAGCCATAGCAGTCATGACCATACTTGACCATCCTGAGATGGGCAGTGTGGTTCTATTTTATGAGTCTGAGTGAATGTTCTTGTTTCCCTTCCGTGTGGAACAGTGGGCTGGGCTGGACACCGGGATGCTGATTTACTTGGTTCCGTTACAGCTTTGGAAAGAGCCTCTGCTGTACTTCTTCCTGGCATAGGGTTAGCAACTCCTATCATCGGCTCCTCAGGCTCCTGGGTCTCTGCCAGAATAACTTTCCAGTCTTCTAATAGAAGGCGGTGTGATGAGGGTTAATAATGTCCCAGTTTTCCGAAATGGTTTGGAAATGAGATATTCAGCCAACTGAATATTTGAGGTTGAGGCTTTTTAACGTCAGGGTGTGTGTGCGTGTGTGTGTTTCTTTCAAGTCTTTCCTATGGAATCTTCCCAATGTAAAGGCAATATGAACCTGCCTGGTAACCACAGCACACAAAAT